TGATTCTGAGGAGAAGAATCAACAATGATGGTCATGCAATGTCTGCCGCACTGTCATAATTTTGATTTAGTTTCCAGGTGGGGCTACCGGGACTGAATTTATCAAGAGCAAGTACACAGTATTTATTTCACATCTTGTTATTATTGAAGCCTTCTCCAGAGACGTTTTCTTTCATTTTATCAATGTTCTACCATATGTCAGGTTCGGAGTTTGCAAAAGACAATTTCACTAATACACACAAGCACACGAGGGACTGTTAAGAGTGTATGATAAAATCTGGCTGAGGAGTTTTGTTTGGGCATATGTACCCTTTCTTAAGCACTACGTTGCAATGAACAACCGAAGGGAAAGCCCCATAACCCGTTTACATAATGGGAACCCGTAATCTTAGCCTCGGGACTTAGAGTACCAAACTATCTAGGGGCCCGACTACTATGTGTATGGTATTGAGCCGGACGACAACGAAGATGCCTACCTCGTATGAAGGACCTAATTTGGTGCCAGATTTTAGATCCCATTCAAGTCCATGTTAGCGGGTTTATTTTCTGCGTGATTTACAAATTACAGTGAGGCGATAAAATCACATGTCAAAAAGGATGAAAAACGAATGGTAAAGCTAATGTGAAACGCGGGCTGATAAGAAAGCAATGATGAGAACGTCGTTCACTATGGTGCGCGCTAATTAGGGAATACATTTTCGATAATATGTGAATATCCAGATGGTAGGATTTTTAATTGGAACGGTTATGAGAATAATAATAATAATAATAAATAGCTTTACTGGTTGAGCAAAAGATGTTTTCCAAACTAGCCATATGCATTGGACCGTTCGCGCACAGTGGTATTAACCAAATACGTGAAACCCCACTAGATTGAGATAAGAATTTAAGAGAACAGAAAAGCGTAGCGAATTATTTATCTTTTAAACTTGGAAAAATGATAGGTGAGCAATCCTTTCAATGAATCACTTGAAAAGTTCTCGTACATCACAGCTGGTCATTTACGAGCGCTTCTTCAGCGAACTAATGCTCCTCATTTGTCCTTATCCACCTTAGTGTTCGCTCTCCTATTTGCAATCTAGAGACGCACCAGTTAGCTGCCAACAGACTCTCCATTTGTCGGCAGCCGATCTGTTCTCATATAGTCTCCTGATGCGTTTAAACTTTCGAGGTAAATACATATTGATATCTGGATTTACTAGAAAATAATTGTGTCCCAGCTTCCACCGCCCATACTTCACAATCATTCATTCGCATTTCTTTCCTATTCATTTCACTATTGTGGTGTACCACTTCTCTGTGAAATGGTAGCAACTGTAAATGAAGAATTCGGGATCACTCATATTTGTCCCGTTGGTGCTTTCAAATATAAGTACCGGTTGGTCTGAATCACTTCCGTGGCACAAGTTAATTCGATAGCTCCCATCAGATGCGGTTTGTTTTTGTCAGAATGCTCGGTTGCGTAGTTTGCCAAAAGGNCAAAAGGGTGGGTTGATCTGTATCGCCTACTGCTAACCGGTTTCACTCATTTGGTTTACCTTCAGTCCGTTTCTGTTTCGGACCTTTTATCATTCGGCCTGGCATGATTTACGGGATGATTTGTGTCATTCTGATTGTAGGAATTATTCAAGATCTGGTTATTTATCGCCTTCGGCACTCACTGCATCTATCCCGACTAAATCTCATTAAGATTAGGTTAGGTTGTTACTTACGTGGGTGACTTAGTAGATTAACGTGGACTAGATAAAATGTTTTATCTTTTTGGTTGTCTCATGTGTTGAAAATTGCAGTGTCCTGGTGATCAGTCACCAACTAGAATACGTGTGCGAAAGAGGATCTGTGCAAAAAAGGTCTCGAATTCCCGAATACGCCTATTATGACACAAGCATGCAAGGTCGAAAACCAACNATTCGCAAACCTGCGCCAAGCATAAAAACTGTCTTATCACCCGCCACCCGAAACGGATTGCTATTTATTCTACTCTTGTCATGCTCTTCCAACCAACGATTGTTTTGACATATATATATATATATATATATATATGTATATAATATAATAATATATATAATGGCGTGGTCTGTCATCCGTCTTGGCTCATGAGTGGGAATATGTTTTATGATGAATTGTGTATTAAACCTGTACGTTGGGTGGTTAGCATGTGTATGTGTCACTATTCGATTACTTGTGTGAAGAGGGGCGATGGATAAAGCATGACAAGTGTAATCTTTTATCTATGTAGATTATCATGTTAGGTGTCTCACACGTGAAGGATATTATGTGAATGACTAACTGTATACTGGGTGTCCAATCCGTGGGAATCTTCCATGACAGCTTACTTCCTTAAATAAACATACCTCTACTATCCCTTCCGAACCAAAAACCTTACAGCATTGACTGGCTCCGTATAAACGTCATTATTTTGAACTATACAGCGACATGCTAATTAGGGTTATATGGTTACCCGTGCAATTTTTATCAGCCTATGCGCAAACAATGTCTGGTGTGTGTATGCACTTTCGTGCGACGGTTTTTGATGCCGTCTTTTGGTTGCCCATTTGGATGAAAATTTAGTGGAAATATGGGAATGTTGAAAGTGAATACTTTCGTAGATTAAGGTTGTAAAGAAATGGAATGGGTGCACGAGCGCCACTGTTTACGACATTCAGCCATTGCATTCAGTGTCTCTGAACGTTGTTCACAATGATCACGGGAAGACTGCAGCGGCCAATATATCCGAATCTCCTGGTTGAGGTTTTCATACACACATGCCAGGTTTTAGTTTGGCCACCCTTGAATTTTTTTCCATCCACTACCTGTTTCGGCAAACATCGCGCGCCGTGGTAACCTATTTGATGACCTGCGTAACACAGGCCCCAACCAACGCAATTTATGGAGGTCGACCACTTGTTCCATTGGACAAATGCCAATTGAGGCTTTTGTATGCGAGCTGATACTTCATTCATGATCCATCCACCGGGTAAGATTTAACTGCTCAAACAAAAAAGCACTTGTCCACTTGCTTGATTACTTCCTCAGTTAGAGTGAGACTGGTAGCTGGGCCAATTCAGCAGCAGCATTTTGCACTTTAAAGATGCAAAACGCATATCGAACATGGCTACACTAGCACTCAAACTATCCAGAAAAGCTTGCACCTTGCCTGGATCTTCTTTCTGGTTTGCGCATCACTTTTTGGGCTCTTCTGTTGTCTTTTTTACTTTCCCTTTTTTTTATTTCACACGTGTTAATGAGCAGCAGGTGGGGTAAACCTCATTGTCGCGAAGACCTGCTGCTCAATGATGGAAACCGGCAACCTAAGCCCCGGGACTTGAAGCGATGAACCGCATAAGGCCCCGTTAGGTTAGGTGTGGTATTGAAGCGGAAGACAGAAAAACTACCGAATGACTCGATTGTTTGCGTTCGACTGTATTTCTCTTCCTTCCTAGGAATAGTTGGGAGTTTCAAGTACCCCGCAGCTGGACGTTGAGTTAAAGAGATCACATCACGGATAGCGAAGCAGGAACAGCTTTTGCCACTCTGTAACACCTGAGTCGCTGCCGTGCCATCTGACTGTGCCTTAAGGGCGGGATATACATCGTTGCGTTTCCTAGTATACCGCTTTACGGTTGCAAGACCTGGCTCCTTCGCGTTGAGCAGGCTAATCAAATTTCTGCATTCGACCACCGATGTCTCTGAAGTATTGCTCTTGTTTGGTGGCAACATCGGATGATCAATGATGAGGTTCGTCGTCGCGTGTTCGGTGTGGATAGTCGTTCTCTGAAAGAAGTAATCGCTCTACACCG